GCTGAAAAGGTCGCCGATGTGGTTATCGGCCACGCACGGTGGCTCGACCGGTCGATCTTGATTTGATCGCGGTACCGGCTGCCTCGTCCCGGCATCGGGATCATTTCAATCAAGTCCGCGACGTCTAGACGAGGCGGCATTCGCGAAAATCCGGAGGCATTTGAATATCCGCCAGCCGCGGATTGGGAAACGACATCGCGGTCGGCTCGATTTTAAAAGGATTCGCGATTATCCTCCCCCGGCCGGGGATTGCGCGGTGACCTCGTCGCGACGCAAGCCGGCGGAAAAACTGCAGCCGGATCGGCGGCGGCTTCTCGGCCGGGGAAAGAGAGAAGCAAGTGTGTCTCTCGTATCCGGCGGCGTAATGAATGATCTCCGCGTGGTCGATATGTACGGTCATTAAATGCGGTCGAAAGGGAGCATCGCGTGCCTCGTTTTCCATCACGGCCCGTCGCGCGATTTCGCCCGTGTCGCGATGTCAAGTGCATTACGAGACACGCACTCGTGACATGTCGCGCGCACTCCCGCTTATAAATCAAGCTTGTCCGTCCGTGTCAATACTAACCGGATCAAAGTGAGTTTGTAAAAGTCAAGGGGGTGCAGTGGAGATGAATCTCGCCAGCGTGCCCGAGCCGTTCCCTCTCATCTCCACTCTTGTCCCTCCGTTCGTGTTCCCCTGGCTGCCCGCGCCGTTATACTTCCTCCTTTCGCGGCGCTATTCATGCCAGTAACGCGATCGATGCTTCTGCCACGAGCCATGTATCGGGGTACATGCCAGCAGATAGTATCTGTCCGCATCGTCTGCTATCGATTTTCCAACGGCGGCTCATCTACGTGAACCTGCTTTATTACGCGTACCGTGGGAATTGTTCGCTTCATTATACCAAGAATCGATTAGGCGAGTAATCAGTATCCAAGAGGGTCGTGCCACGGGCGTAAACGTCCGGATCCGGAAGACAGAGAAGGTATTCCGCGGCGGGTAGACCGAGCTGTCACTCCGCCGCGGTTGCTAGTGGTAGCGGTCGATAAAAACCCCGGCGACGCGACGCTGAATCGCGAATCTCGCGAGAGACGGAAGAGGAGAGAGAGGGAGGGAGAGTGAGAACACGAGGAGCGTTCGAAATTCGAGCAACCGTTCATTTAATACGGTCAATCGATATTCCCGCAAATATCTGCGATTAATAAACATAAAGGCAATAGATATTGTGACGTATATAATATCGTTAAATAAACGCGGTTATCGCGTGTATCGATGAGTGATAATTAATTCTATGCTTATTTCTGTTGCTGCGCGCACGTGTACGGAAAATATCCGGTTGTTCGGTGACGAGCCGCGCGACATATTACGAAACGCAATCGTATTGTAATCAGAACGCATTATACCGTTATAATATTACATAATCGCCGCGTTACAATTGCGCCACAGGCCAACGCGCGAGCACTCCGGCACGCCGTTCATCGGCCGATTTCGGCTCTCGCGCGACTCGCGAATCCACGGCAATCTTTTCCGATATCGCCCGGTAAAATATGAATCGATACATATTCAAACGTCGCCGTGCACCACCACCTTCCTCTTCTCTCTTCTCCATTCCTCTCTCATGCCTCTCCCTCCTTCTCTCTCTCTCTCTCTTTCCTGTTCGCTCTCGCGTTTCGCGCGAGTCGTTAGCATTAATCGCCTTCCGGCGGTCCGCGATCAACCGGCCAAGGAAACGGCTGGTCGACCAACCGTTTACACAGGCCGGAGATTTCAAATTGTATCTGGCTCTCATCCTGCATCCCCCATCTCTCTCTCTCTCTCTCTTTATCTCGCTCTATCCATCTCTTTCCTGGCCGCGCGCTATTATTATCCCCGAACACGAAGGATCGCGGTTTCCCGGCGCGTTTATTCTCCGTCGAGATCAACGCGAATATGAGTTGTTCCCCTCAGCAGGATTGTCCCGGGATAGAATTAGCGGCGGGGGGAAATAATATTAGTTTCGTGTATGCGTCAACATGAACTCGTCGCCGTTGCCGCCGTGACATGTTTATTGGCGAAATAATAATTAGCGATCGTGTTACGCACGGTGTAACGGAAGAACCGAACGAATTTTGACGTCGCTCCTGATTCCTTCACACCTTCCGCCTCCAGTCGGAACGATACGCTGTGCGGATGTTCGCACTCTGCTGGCAATTAATGTCGTGGAAAAACGGTATATCACTGATACTTTGTCACACACCGTGAAATGCATTCTGGTGACAGTTGTTGTCGACGGAAGTCCGTGTCTCGTTGACACAGTTCGCGCGCTCAGGTGTTCTCGGGAACAGTAAAAAGAAGCTGCAGGGGGTATAATGAAATATGATTTATTACTAAATTCGCGAGATATATACATTAGGCCATACACATAAGAAACATAATCTTTCTCGTGGCTTTTTCTCGATATCTCGACGAGCGGAACGGCGCGCGCGTCTCCCCGCCGTCATCGTCGTGAACGTCGAGGAGTCGCTCTCGTGCCGTCGCCGGCTCAAAAACACAGGTGTAGAGGTACATATACTTATTTCCGCGTCGGCGTTTCCATTGTGTACGTGTGTGTACACGTGTATGTGTATAAGTGTGTGTGTGTGTGTGTGGTATGTACGAATTTATGTATGTACGGGCGAGTGTACGTGTCCAGAAGCTCGTTACAACTGAAAGCTAACACCGAGTATATCGTCATTTTATTTTATTCTCTCGCTCTCTCTCTCTCTCTCTCTCTTCCTTTTTTTCAACTCGATAATCTACGTCTCGCCTCGAGCGGGGACGACACGAGCGCGTTTCGCGTTCGTGTTCTCTCGTCAACGTATCTCTTATCTGTGTGTTGGCGATGCTCGCGATATTCAAGACGCGCGATATTTGAACACTTCCACGACACGGCTAAATACTTCCGTCGTGTCCACCCGGCCGGCCGGACGACCGACGATCCCCGTCCGCTTAATCACACACACACGAAACTTCCGGGATGCGAAGTATTCCTTCGTCGTCCCGCCTGTGGTACTCCTTTTATTATTATACATTACAGCCGCGGGGTATATACAGGGTGGTATATACAACTCTCTTGCACGGGCAACGCCGCCGTAAATATCGGAGATATGTCCTCGATAAGTCGCAAAACATACTGCCGTCCAACGACACTTGGAAGCAAATGAGAAGCTAAGCCTACTCCGGCCGAGTATGTTAATGCAAAAGCACCTCGCCTGCCGT